AAATACACCAATCCATCAATCAATTAATGAATAAACCAACAAATCAATCCATCAATCAAATAACCCTACCTGAAATAACACATGCCCATCATAAAGATCAGTGTACAACCAAGTGACAAATGGATTTACACCAAGACTGTTCATCCAGTTACGATATGCTAAGAAGTACAAAATACTATCATTACACAATGACAGATGGACAGACAAAAGATAAAGGCAGGTTTGTCCTTTTTTAATCCTCGGCAGGAACATAGGTCTACATTGTTACTCAACTTACGTTAATGCTCTGCAAACATTAACAACTAAAACTTTGTTTCTTTCCAATACAGCAAACCCAGTATTAAATAACTATGTTCATAGATTACCAAGTCCATACTTACTTGTTTCTTCGCGTGTTTCCTCTCTGTACATATTTTCATCGTCAACTACTTCYGCCTCCTCGTCTGGTGGCAAGCATGGATACGTATTGAACAAATTAGCTACAAAAGCCAAGTTAAGCTTTGGATTTCCTTCAGCAATATCCTACAGAAAGCAACAAAAATATGCATTAGAAAATAAAGACAACTTACAATTCAAACAGGAGTCATCTATCTAATGTTTGTAATTAACAGTAATTTGTCATACCTTAGGTCTTACAAACTTTCTGCAGCCAATTTTGTCAGCATTTTTMAGAACTTTGTCAGCTCTTTTCACATTTCCTTGAACCTGAAATGCATGACAATTAAAAATAAATTGACCCCAATAATGATAAAACAGAAATGATGATGATGACGATAACAATGATGAACTCAAAAATGATGATAATGATTACTCTATTCAAACTAAATGACATGCCTCCTACTTTCTGATTTTCATAGCAAAGTTTATGGAAAACAGCCATCTACTTTAATAGGGTCTGAAGCCCAGTGCATAAATTACTAAAAAACCTGAATTAATACCATCCTTCATCATTTTCAATGATCATAACTTGGGCCTGGTTCAGTGGAGTTGAGTTTTTTGAACATTTCGCTGAATTTACTGAGATGTTGCTAGATTTTGTCCAGTTGGACAAACTTATTATAATTCACAAATATCAATTGATTCAGACAGCAAACATCTGGTGAACTACATGCAAGCAATTAGATTAGACGTGGCAAAAGTTCGACGTACAAACCGGGCCTTACTCTATCAGTACAGATGGTCAATACTTACAGAATTATAACTTGATGGGTGTTCTACACCGGTACCAGGAGGAGCAATTCGGTGCAAAAGAATGCTGTAAGCCTCTGAATCCTACAGAAACAAGACGTTCAAATGAACAAATATTACATGACATATCAATTCATTAATTATATTTAATAATAATTAATATTATAGTGGCATAAATGATAATGACGATGTGCATGTATGTATTCATTTATGTTTTATACTGTTTTAACAATTGAAAGCAAAAAGTTATTGTGATCATTATGGTTGGCACATTTACATTACAAATACATGTAACATGAGGGAAGGCACTCGGTCATAAGGGATGTACTTAGAAATCACATTAGAGTATGTCCAATATAGGCATTTATTACAAGTCTTGAATTGAAATGAATCAAGAAACCTGCACTGTTGCACTCCGCAACTTTGCATATCATTTAATATATGTTAATTAGAATGTGTTAACAGACACAAAGTACAGTGTTATTTCAAGAAAGATCGACATACCGTAATATCTTCACTAAAGTTATTGATGCGTCTAGAAGATCCCGCTTGTTCAAGGTGATAGTTAACCCAACGAAGAAGAAGTTCCTCAGGACTCATTTTATGAAGTACGCTAGCATCCTCTCCTTCTCTKAGTAAGCGTCGAAGACCAGGAATATCAGTTAGCGAAATCTTGGAGAACAATCCAATCTAACAGCGGATAAAACATGTTAGTATAAACATATTAATGGTCTATCACTCATACTGTGCTGTGATTAGCTACTCTACTAATGGTCTAATTTGTGATAGACCACTCACAGGAAAATCAAAATAAATAAATTATAAATCATTTTAAGGATATTTCAATTTGCTTTCATTATTTGACCAATTAGTATGTACATGTATATATTAAAACAATTACACCTTGGCCTCGAATAGCCCATTCGACCTCGCGGACTCAGCCTCATGGGCTATTAGCTCGTAGTCCACTCCGCCTCGAGGTCTAATTGTTAAATAGCAATGAATAACACTATACATAACAAAAATTATTGGAAAAATGGAAAGAGATTGAAATGCAAACAACTCATCTGTGAAAAAAGGATGCTAATTTGTCATATTTCATTCAAATTATTTCATTTTCGTTTATTGAATGAGCGACTATTTTGCACAATTTAGTAATTTGTTTCACTGTTGAGAGCACAACACTACAAGCATGAAAATTAATGAAGATTAGACACTACAAAACATATTATTAGACACATAATTCAGTACCATAGTGAAAGCATTCTTCCGAGCAACGGTTCAGCAATCTTTAGGCCGAATTAGACAGCACAACTTTTGCTTACAACCATCGCATGCAACCTGCGTAAGTCATCCTTACAACATAGCTACAACTGTTGTAGGGATATTAAGCAATTGTTTTAAATTGCCACAACAGTTGTAGCCATGTTGTAAGGATGACTTCTTATGCAGGTTGCATGCGATGGTTGTAGGCAAAAGTTGTGCAGTGTAAATCCGACTTTTTTATAATTAAGAGAGTAAACAATGTTTTACCCTAATGACTTGCCAAAGCAGTCCAAGCACCAAGTGTGGTTTACCATTTGCCAAGTCTTCTGGTCCTATGTTTACAAGATGGCAGCCAATTGATGAAGCAGAATTGATGACAAGAGTTTGATTTTCGTGAATAGTAAAGACTTTGAGATTCTTCTTGTTGACGACACGCATATCAATGGTATTAGGAACAGTAGCGTTAATCATTTTACTAAATGAAAAATAGAATACAAAATAGGTAAACAAATGAGAAAGGCATTGGAATAGCCAAGGAAGAGTACATGAAAATGGGAAAAAAGTAAAGAAATAAGAAAAATCAACTAAATTGACCAAATCGGTTAACTTGTTGCTATGTATGTTTACCACCCAATTCAAATCCTGTGGGAAAAAGAAGTGTTGTTTCTAAGACTTTAACTGTGAAATGAAAATACAAGAACCAATGAAAGTTAGGTGGTTTGAATTGAGTGCAAAAGTTTATAGCAACGCATTAGCCGATTAGGTCTATGGAAATGAGAATGAAAGAATGAGAAAGTGAATGAAAAATGGATGAAATAAGAATGAAGATATGAAGGATTAAAGGGCTACTTGGACGAAAATTGCAAAACATTATAAAAGACTTGGAAATCAAATAGAACTATCCATATGGGTCTAATAGTCATGAAGCAACAGATTTCAACAAGATATTGATACAAATCCYTAATAWTTTGGGCAAAAAATGTTGGAGTAGATGACGTCATCTACTCAATCCTTTTGTTCTTCCATCTTTTGAATCAAAATTTCTCTTATGTGGGATAACTCCAAAACAAATATTTTCCCGCAATTGTTTTTTTTTAAATAGATAAAAATGAGTCATATTTGTATTGCTTGAAGTTTTGAAATAAGACCACTTTCATGCAAGTAGCACTTTAAAGCATATACAATGATACTGCACCTACCACAACAGAATACCATCTTTAACCTTCTGGAAAAGCTGTCTATAGTTGTCAGTTGAGTCAATYGGGATGTAGCCACCGGTCTTTAGCTCGTCATCGCCATCTAACTGTGTATTAATCCAATCAGCAAAGGCTGCAGTCTCAG